TGCACGAAAATAATCATAAAAGTAAATCTTGAGACAAAAAATCCTGTAATTTGTCAGTAAAAAAAAATTGAAAATGTTTTATTGAATACCCGACTGATTTTTAACAATTATTGAATTGACAAGCACAGATACAGTGTTATATATATAGTATAATGTTGAATAGTTCGGCAAATTGATAAATATGATCAGACAAGGATTTAATGAGTTTCTTTACCATTGCATGACCTTTTTACTTCCATGAAAAAAAGTGATGTGAGGGTTGTAATCTTAGAGCAATGTTTTATAGATAATGGTAATTGGTGTTGCATTTTTAAAGCGTTTATCGGAAAGAAAGCAATCAAAATCTTATTGGAACTTGACAAATGTGTCTAGGTCTTTGGGGCATTATTTGTAATGACCACTACAAGTTACAATGAATGACTGATTCGCAAAGACAGATTAGTTATCACTGACAATTCTAAGCACTAGGTGATCTTAAACTAGTTAACTCCAGTAATGAAGCCTGTATCAGAAAGTATGATTATTCGGCAGACTGCTGTTTCCGTCCTTCGTTACAGGCATCAAGCTGTCAAACTAATGGTGAACATGTCTATATACTTTTTAATTCTTTCAAGATTTAGGACCTACAAATTAGCCATGCAAAGTCTTCCAATCTGGAATATTGGGGGGGGGGTTCAATATCTTTTATAACTTTTTTTTCAATCACAATGTTTTTATTATGGCATAACAAATATCACCCTCAAGGTATTCCTAGTTTTACGTATATTTCTTTTTTCCCCTTTCATGCTAGAGGAAATATTTTTATGTTGTAATTGAAATAAATTCGAGAGATCAAAGCTTATTTTTGCCCAGCCTATGAAGTCATCAAAATCAGATCTTTTTATTTGAAAATGAACCATCTTTTCCCCAGATTATAGCTCTTGTAATTACTATTGTGCGTAAATCGCAAGACATATCATAAACGCAAATACTAAGGTCAGAGCACCGAATGAAAATTGGTTTTTGTTTGTTTGTTTTTTGCTGTTTAACGTCCCTCTCGAGACTTTTTCACTCATATGGAGACGCCACCACTTGCGGTTGGAGGGCTACAAATTTTGACTTATACTCGGCACTAAGGACCATTGAGCAATGAAGGATCTTTTTCGTGCCAGCACCTACTGCAACACGGGACCTCGGTTTCTACGGTCTCATCCTTAAAGGTCTCCGCGTCCCACAGTGGGATTCGAACCCTCGACGTAAGGATCATCTCCTTACTCCGCGACTCTAGAGCAGACGCTCTAACCACTGCACCAGAATGATACTTGCTATTTCGATTTCCATATGTCAATAAACTGGGATGGGAGCAACCATTTTTTTCACGGACAAATCTACATGTATCTGTATATATTTTTAGCCGTTTTTTAAACAAACAACAAATATAGTTTGTAATCTCCTAAATTTGTGCCCTTAGACTTAAATTGTGAATTATCGGATATGAAACGAAAAAATAAGGTATAATTAAGTCTGAGATAAAAAAAAAAAAAAACAACAACAAAAAACAAAAAACAAAACAAAACAAAACTGGTCGCTGAAAAGATATTTATAAAGCAAACATAATAATGTGGTGACATTCTTCTTCATTTTTAGTGAAAATCATTGAACGAAATGTTTAATCAACAAAAACTTGATTTAAATATATTTTTGTTATTTTTGCGACAATTGGCTCCATTCTATTTTTGTTGAACATAGTGTCATCAACACCTGTTACATGTTTTTATATCCAAGCAAAGCAAGATTTGTATCTTTTGACATGTGTATACATATATATGTTTATCAAATATTGACTGGACATTTTGAAGGTGGACAAGAAAATTTTTCCCTTTCTAATTACTTTGATATTAAATCATGACCAAGTGTCAACTCCAGGGCAAATCGCGTGAATTTGTTTGAATAATTTATACAAAAAATGTGTTATTCGAAACAAATAGGATTTTTTTAATTAACTCGGAAGACGCCTATATTCACAAATCTATAAATTGTAAATTAGATGAGATGACAGCTTTAACAGGAAGAAGAGCAATGTCACTCGAAAAATGCTAGAAAATAAAATCTATTCTCAAAGGCAAAAGAATGACTAACTAGAGTGCCAAGAACCATTTATTCAAATTGTGTTGCTACGTCGTGTTTTTTGTTGTTTTTTTTTAAACTACTTTTTAAGTGTTCGTGCAAATTATAATTTTAAAGAAATCGAAATTGTGAAAATAATTTTGACTTTTAAACATTTGATGATTAGAATTTTAGCCGTGAGTGACTCGTTTTAACATTTCTGAAAACAACTTCAAAACATACTTAGGTTTTTGTGCTTGGAGATGCGAATGAAAGATAAGTGATTAGAACTTGCGACTGAAATGTCTACTTTACAATACAACAGAGAATAGTCGGAGCAAAAATAGACAGAATTTACATTATAAAACCCTCGATCGACGTAAAAAATGTTAATTACTCAATTGAGGATCGTCTCCTATCAGGAGGTTACATCGTTAAATCCAGTGTATTTTTTCTAAAACAGAAATAAGACTGATTTAAGTTCAAACAAAGAATAAAAAGAAAAATCAAATTGTAAATGTAATAATGTAAAACTTCACCAAGGAAGGTATTGCAATCATTTTAGCAATTTGACGAAAAAAAAATTGAAGTAAAATCACACTATATTTGAACATGTTTCACTGTGTTTTAGTAATGGTAGTAAGATTAACATTCTTGGTAATTCTTGCTTCAGCTAGTGTACTTTATCTGTGAAGTTAAAAAAGTAAGATCGATGGATTTCTTTCATTAATTTAAATAATAGCTGATAAATGGTAAATAAATTACAAAGTTCTCATGAAATATTTAAACCAATCCATCTACCAACATTTAAATAAGAAAATATACACTGTATATTTTTTGTAAAAAAAAAAAAAACTGGTTTGAAACATCCTTTGCATTTGATGATATCTGATAAAATTATCAGATTTGGATTCCACGCAGGAAATGTTTCCCAATCCTCATGAAAGCTACCTCAATTATTAGAATATCTCCATATGATTACTTGCTGTATTGCTTCATGATAAGGTTACTTATAGAATAAAAAAGCCCAATCTGTGTACAATTACCAACTCTTTATTTCGAATTCATTAATTAAACTTGTAAATATTTGACCGCTTGCTAAGGGCTAAAATAAGGTCTGACATTTCATCTCATTTGTGATAGCTATTATAACTATGATATGATAACGTTAATTTTATTAGTCCACATGGTTAACAATTTTTTCGTTTATACTTCTAATTTCATATCTGGATGAGAGAGAGAGAGAGAGAGAGAGTTTTGGGGAGAAAATATTAAAAATTGTTCCAATTTACATGGTTGGAAAATAGAATTTATAACATCATTTTCTTTGAATATCAGGACAATGAATACAATCAAAAAGGAATTTTCTGGACAAATTTTTGTGGCTTTGTTCTATATGAAATATGAAGATAACGAACAGATTCAATCTCGAAACAATGAAACAGGAAGATTACGAACAGTGATCAATCTAAAAAAAATAAAAACAATACAAATCTGTGAACAGAGTATAAAACACAGATCCTGGAAATTCCACAGGTAGGATAGGGTACCTAGGAGAAGAAAACATCCCCTGTGACTGGTGGATAAGTATTGATCAATAGGACAGAATTTAATATTACGTAGTCAAATTTAGTTTAAAAAACAAAGGCCTAACAATTGGTATGAAAAAAAAACTCGGTCAGAATACGATACAATGATAGGTTATATTTGCTAACACGGTCATGATAACGACCATCCGTAGAATCTACATAATACTGACTTTAAACGAGGTTGGTTGAGATCCCCGTGACATCAATTTATCTGTCAATAGTCTACGTTGGTTTAAAAATTGATCATACTCAGGGCATGCTCTTTGGTATCGAATAAGCTGGGAGATGTAAACCCCACATGCAGAATATTACTACATAAATAAGGAAAGTTGACGATTGAAACGCTGAAGACATCTTGTTTGCCGTACAATTAAGTTGTCAGTTGGCCATTATTGTCCATAGTCAGTAGAACATCCAAATATGAAACAGATGTTCCAGACAATGTAGTATCTTTTATTTCGAGTTCACCAGGATATATGTCAAGTCAACATATAAATAGAAGTAACTATTTTTTATTGATAAAAGGTCGTCAATATATTATATATCTGAATGTGGAGTTTGGCGCCCGACTATTTGTTTTCCTCTTATGTTGAAGCTGTTGAATGAAATATGTGGAGATAACGAACAGTATTCGAGCTCAAATGTCCATTAAACATTACAAAATAGGAAACACGGACCTCTAAGACATCAGAGGTGGGATCAGGTGCCATGGAAGAGTGAATAAATTCTTCTACATAGGAATATAAGATCAGGTGGATAATCAAGGAGCACAATTTGGGCCCATCGAATCACAAGAGATTGTTGGAAGACCTGGTCTCCGAGGACTACAAAGATTGTGTCAGCGGGAAACAATTATTAGACTAACTGCGCATAATAAATATGTGAACAAGTTTTGATAGATGCCAGTGGGGAAAAAAGGATTTTTTTTTTAAATGTTTTTCAATGCATTTTGATTTTGTACCTGGAGTACATATACATGATAATTTAAAATTTTTTCTCTCATTTCTTTTAAAGGGAGTTATTCTTTTCCAAACCTTTGTATTTCCACATTAAATATAGAGTTTTCTTTGACTTTTCTTTTTTGATAATTAAAACCTTGTTTTTTCAACTGAATAGACAGCTTCTGTTAACTGTTGCATTATTTCTCGTCCGAAGAAATACACAGGCCCTTGTCATCCTTATGATTTACATATTTATGTGGATTCAGATAGAATGAAAACTGTAAAATTACACACAAAAGCAGTCTGGGGTATAGTGTAATAGCCTTAAATTCTTGAACTTTTGAGGACACTGAAATAAATTTTAAGTACAAATTGACATGATAACATGAAAAGTATCTTAATGTAATGTGGGGAAACGAACAAAGGAAAGATTTTCTTTTATCTCTCCACGGGACTGCATGAATTATGCATTATATGAAATGTACCTAAGTCCTCTTATGCCATAAATGAGCACGCTTTTAGATAACATGTAAATGTTAGCTTTCATTGATCAATCTGTAAAACAAAACACTTCAATTCAATGAATAGATAAAAAAAGCTTCAGGACCAAATCTAAAGTATGAATGTACTAATTTTATGATCTAATTTCTAATACCTAACCTAGGTCGTTGAACTGTAGTTAAGCATTAACCTATTAATTCCAATTTCTGCATTGATTTAATTGTTTTCTTTTTCTTCCAAATTATGATTATTAAGCTTCATTTACTCTTTTTATGATGGAAAAATAAAACCATTAACTTCCTAATTGCTCTGTTCTCACGTCCACACAGCATCCTGCCGGAAGTCTTTGTGTTCCAAGGGAACTTTTGAGTGTCAAAGAATTATGGAATGTATTGATGAAGACCGGAAGTGCGACGGCGAACTGGACTGCCAGGACAAGACAGACGAAAAATTCTGTAAGAAGTTACCGTGTGTTTCCTCCCAACATTACCTGTCATGGGCTCGAAGGCTAGCTATTATGACTTGCTAACCAAACCATTAGACTTTAAATATACATAGTTTTGACTAGAGGCATATTAAAAGACGAAAGGATTGTTTGCATACGCTGTTAAGTATAAAGAGGTAAATGGTAAATAAAATGAATATTTTTCTACATTAACGAAAAATTCAATTAAAGAATGTTAGCTAGCGCTTCATGAAAAATATGCCAACGTGCAAGTCTTTGTTATTTACACAATATATATTCAATGTTTGAATTTCTTGTTGCACTATATCGTCATATTTTATTAACGTCTCTGTAGCCTCATTATGACGTCCCTTTAGCGCGAGTCTCTCCATGTATATTTCTACAAGTGAGTATACACGAAAATGGCGATCAAATCAATTCCATATTGTTTAAGTAGAAAAACACAATAAATGTAAATATATAGTATTGTTCAACTTATCCCCCACCCCCACCCCCGCCCAATAAAAAAAGATATATAAAAAGTATCAGTCAATGTTTGAAAAAAAAAAGAAAAAGAAAAATTTAGTATATAAAAATCGTATTTTTCAACAGTAATTTCATATTCCACGATTCATACTTTGGTTTAAATTGAATATAATTTGTATAAATTTCAAGACTAATTATAAAAACCATTAAATTTTTGCACTTCCAAGTTACTATTTACTTTTTAGACAGAAATGTATAAATGTAAAACGCCTAGGCGGATAATATATTTCTATGGATATTAAGAGTGCTCCGGTTCGATATCATGCATCATTTCCTTAATCTTTCGAAAAATGCACTGCATATTTTTATCTATTTTTGTGCAGTAGCTTAGGACTCTTCCTGTATTATTTAATCCCTAGCTTACTCTGTGTCTTACAAAGAGTGCTATCACACAATTCACTACTGCATATAGGCTTTCATGATTTCCTAAGATCATCACAGTGACATTAAATATAATGAGATAAGGTAACAGTGTGTGTTAATTAAGAATGATAAAGCTCATAAAGTTTCCTGCTGGTGTCAATAAAAGAGGTAGATGGAAAGAAATATTTCCGATTATACAAATAAATTTTCCCCGCTCGATGTCGAAAGCAACTGATTACGAATTTCCCGAAGAATTGAATGAATATCACTTTTCTGACCGAGAGTCTTAATTGCTATTTGATGAGACGTTTTTGTATATAATAGGTTTTCTTCTTATTGAAATTGTAGGTGATAGAGCACAAGATAGCTACTGGAATAATAAGTATCTGAAAAGAGAGGATGCTGACTACGACAAGCTGAACAAATCTTGTGGTACTTAATTATATTTAGCATTAAATGATATTGTGTAAATAGCATAAAGAGAACAAATCAAATATATAAATAAATAAATGCATGAATAAATAAATAAATAAATAAATAGATAAATAAATAAATAATGAAAAAGTTGAAGATAACGAACATCTAAAAGAAAAAAAAGCATAAAAATCTGTGAACAGGCCATTAAACACGGAATCCCGGAAATTCCTTTGGATCAGGTGCCTAGGAGGAGAAAGCATCCCCTTTAAACCGACTCACCTACCATGAGTCCTATATATTGATCAGGTAGACGGAATATTCTGTAGTCAAAATTAGTATAAAAACAAATGCCTAGTAATTAATATAAAATATGTCAGTAAAAATGTTGGTTAACTTTGCTAACAAGGTTATTTTAATGACTATAGAAGTTACGAAATGGTTGCTTGAAACAAGTTCGTTGAAATCCCTGTAAGATCAACTTATCGGTCATTAGTGTGCCTCAGTAAAAAAAAAAAATATGATCGTACTCAGAGCATGCTCTTGAGTATCGAATAAGGTGGGAGACATAAACACCATATGCAGGTGGAATACTACTATATAAATTTGGAAAGTATGGAAAAGCTGGTCACCTCATTTGTCATACAATTTAGTTGTTAGTTGTCCCATATCGTTTGTAGTCAGTAAAACATCCAAATATGAAACAGATGTGGCAGACTCTATGATGTCTTCGAGTTCACTGGGATATAATTATCGAATCTACATATGATTGGAAGTAACTGAATTAGTTAATTGATAAAATTTATATAACATCGTCGATATATCTTTTGTGTTGAATGAATGAATTAATAAATCAATGAATGAATAAATAAATGAATAAATAGATACCCCCCCCCCCCAAAAAAAAAAAAAGAAATGTTTATAACAAATAATTGATATTAAAGCTGGTCCTAAATAAATGTGTCACTCTTTTTTTAACGCTAAATATACAATATGTTTGTTTTGATTCAAAATCATGCATGTTGATAAATAGGTTTTTTTCCATAGTGTATGTATAAAAGGAGGGAAATTCTTGTATTTCAGTGTTTAAAGAAGTACCGACAGGCTGCACCTGTAAAGGAATGACAATGATATTCTGCAGCGGGAGTCATCTGAAAAACATTCCAAAAGATATACCAGACAAAATAACTTTATTGTAAGTACCAGATAAAATAGGTTAACAGTAAGTACCTGACAAAATAACTTCACTGTGAGTTCCAGAAAAAAAAAAAAATTCTTGTATGTATCAGATAAAATAATTTTACTGTAACTATCACACACACAAAAAAAATTCCCGTAGGTACCAGACAAAAAATGTTCCAGACAAAATGACTTAACTCCAAGTAAAAGACAAAATAACTTTACAGCAAATACCAGAAAAATAACTTTACTGTAAGTACCAAACAAAATAACTGTACAGCAAGTACCAGACAAAATAACTCCTGTAAGCACCAGATAAAATAAACTTCTCCTGTAAGTGCCTGACAAAATAACTTCCCTGTAAGCATTAGACAAAATAACGTTTTTTATGTAGCATACAAAATAATGTGAGTGTTTTTCAGACTTTTCTTGTAACTACTATTCTGATATAGTTTGTAGAGCACAGAAAAAAACCCCATAATATAAGTCAGTTTTATATAGTTTGTAAATATTCATAAACTAATTTGAATACTTACAATCTAAGAGAAATGTTGAAACATATCCTTACTGCATAAGTGAAGTTAAATCTTCGCAAGAAAGTAGAATAAGAATTTTCAAAGACTAGGTGAGATGCTTGCAACATTTATGCTATTATTGACTTTAGGATTTCTAATGCATAACTGCAAAAACAAATTTGTTTTAATTTCCTATTTAACATATGGGGAAAAAATCATTCATATTTATTTCTCATTTTTGACTTAAAGTAAATATTTGATATCGATCATAAACTTCATTATGGTTTCCTTAGGATATGTAAAAATTGCCAGAGGACATTTATCAGAAACAAATTGAAAATGCTGTCATTTACAGAATCACATAGGCATCTTACTATCCCTCATACTAGAAAACGATGGCCTGAGAAATATCCTACTTGATGGATCTGTTCAAACAAAGAAAATCCTTGAAAAGAATATATTAAGGATTGTGACTGGATGTGATTTTTATCAACCAAGTTGTGTGTTTTAACCCCGAGACTATTATTATGGGATGGAAAACACACAAAGGAATAGGATAAAAATCCAATCCAATCATGAAACATGGAGATTATATTTACTACACATGTTAAGCTAATTTGAAAGGTCTGTATTTCTTTGCTGTCGGCTGTCTTACGCTTCTTATCAACATGATTAAGCCTTAAAAAGATTCTTATGAAATAGGAAACAAATTGATTTTATTTTTCAGTGATTTTAAATTCTTTCTGTTTTCAAATTTGTAAATAAAAACTGACACAAATGTATTATATATAACTATGGAAAAGCTATGAAATATTTATCCTGTGAATGATAATTACTGCATAAAGGGGTAAACATGCCATCAAGATCTAGCAACATGAAACTTGTAATTGCAGTCGTACTTCAATCTCAAAGTTCTTGGAAAATTATATATAAGCGAAGAACGAGTCGTCTGATATTTAAAGTATATAACTTTGATTATATACCTGAAAGAGTTTTGATTATCTTTTAAATACATTTTTAAGGTAAAAAATCTATTTTCAGAGATCTCAGCAATAACGAAATCGAAAATATATCAGAAAGGGAGGTGGACTTTTTCTTCGTGTCTCAAATGTGAGTATCAAGTATTTTATTTCTAATCAAAGAATACTTTAATTTCGTTCTGTAGAATATACATGCATGATAAATACCGTAAATCTTGAAATTTTTACGTCGATTTACTTTTGCGAATCTGGGTCAAAAGTCTGTTGATTAATTTTTACGTTTAAAATTTTTGCGAATCGTCATTTGAACTAAAATATAAAAAGCTCTTAAAATTTTCTTAATCATTTGTAAGTGATGCATGTACATACAATAAATTACGAATAAACATAAAAAATTAAACTACGCCAACGTTCAATAATCAGATAAAAATAATAGAAAAGATAAATCATCCAAAGTGTTGAAAGTTCATAACATTTTCATAAATCACACATGTACATTAAATATATATAACGATGTAATCTTTAAGTAATCTTTAGATAAAAAAACATTTTTGTTGTTGATTTATTTTTAAGGGTTTGGTTTTGTGTTCATCCAAGTGAAACTCGTACGAAATAAAAATCTCAATATTTTAATAAATACTTCTTGCTTAGTCTTGAAAACTGACCTATGACACCTTCCATTGGAAAGCTGTCTTGATATGTATGCAGTTTGATAGTCACTTGCAGTGTCATGCAGCAATAATGTGCATATTACACTTGCAGGACTGCACAGCTACAGGTCTAACAAAACAATAACATGACATTTGTTGTATATGTGCAGATAGTTGAACGTCATGGGTACAACCATTTGTTTCGTTCCTAACAATACTGTGCGTACTTTTTCTATAACTGTCTGTTTTTCATCAACTAGGCATGTCCGCCATGCGAAATCGGGGGGCTGCCATTCCGGTATTGAAACCAACTGACTATTTCTGTAATCTGATGTCTCTAGTACCTCGATTACACAAAGCAATTAGAGAGATATTTCGTTAAACATCTCCAGTTATTAGAATGTTTCGATCTAAATGTTTAATATTGTTTATTATAAAAGTAACATCGATGTTTACGTCATATCAGGGAATGCTCCGTCTTCGATTTTACAATGGACAGATAAATTAATACGCGCCCAGTTTTAGCAGTTCCGACTGAATTTAACGTCTGTTATTTCTTTTGCAGGTAAGGCTGTTAATTACCTTTTATCAAATAAGCATATTAATCCTACAAATGTAGGACAATGTCATATAATATTGAAAAATATTGCACGAAAATTAAGAACTATAATCACTCAGCGTAGTTTATTTCTGAGGTCTGTCATGCGATATTCGGCTAAAGTGAAAGTAGGAGCTGGTAAGTCGATTTGTTGTGTTTATTGTGATTTATGAGCCTTATCTCAGAAATACGATATAACTCCTAGTATCAGTAATACATTTTGAGTGTGACAACGCCTGCGATCTAATGCACATCAATTTTAAAAAGGTTAAACGTTATACAAAGGATCTGAGAATTTCCACGTGTTTCTTGCAGACCACAATTTGGTAGCGGGCAATATTTAAGGTTCCTCTAATAAATGTTACTATGTTTCAAAATACTAAAAGTATTCGTCATTGTATAAAAATATAGTTCAGTCAAAAACAGGGTTTCAAATATTATGAGTAGAGTAAAGAACTGAATTTTGTTTTCATTAATGAGCGATTTTTGTGTAAGATCCTTCATTGAGCCTCAGACACACCAAGTTAAATGTCCAATGACGGCTAAGTGAAGTGGCTCTACATAGTACACATATATGGTAAATCAGATGTGTTATTTGTAAATCAAAATTTTGATATTCAAATTTTATTGCTTTTTTGTTTTACTTTTTGTAAAAGAGATGCAAGTATTATTGATTATTTATATAAATAATTTTCACATAAGTTTGTACTATGTATACAAACCATCATTTTGGACTTGGACCTTCTGATTTGCAGATTAGTGCAGTATATGTAGTTCTCATGGGGAAAAGTAAATTAAACGATAAAAATTTTCAAGGATGTCAACTTAATTTGCTTATTGCTTGATATGTAAATTGTTCAATGTTCATCAAATGAAGAGACTGCAGCAAAATTGAAAAATAGGTTTTTTTAAAGATGAAAATTGCATAAAGTATTAATAATTAATATTCTCTAGTTAAAATGGTTAAGATTGAAAACTTGAATTTCTGCAACGTTTCATCAAAAAGGGAGTATAATAAGGGGGTCTTACCTGATCTTAAGTTACCATTGAGCATGCTGAATCAAATGCTACCAAGCATGTTTATTTTTAATTGAATGTTCATTTTATGAAAGTTTTTCATATGCTCAATTAGACTTAGGTTGTTGGTTGCACTTGTAAGGAAGAGATGAGGTGCTGGGGGTGGGGTGGGGGGGGGGGGTAAACCTTGGTATTGATCCATAAATACCATAATATTCTTGTAGAAACCTCTAAGATTTTTTGTATAAAATTGAAAAAAAAAATGAATGTACATGTAGCCACCACTTTATCTCAAAAGGTTATTATTATTATTTTTTTTTTTGGAGGACCTGCATTTTAATGGTACAGGCAAACCTTGTTACATTGTATTTCTATCCTGATGGGACCAATAAAAAAAATTAAGAAATCTGGTATAGTTTGACACATTGAGGTTAAAATGCTTAAAGAAAAAAATGGAAGAGACTTTAAATGAAATATGAAGATAACAAACAATAATCAAATTCAAATTCACATAATTTTGAGAGATGGAAGCAAAACTCTATTCTTTTAATGTCTCATAGAACAAAAGTTTTAACGGACACAGTTTCAGGAAATAAATACCATTCAGTTAAAACACTGACACCCTTCAACATGTTCAACAAAGATTAATATTAATATCTAGACTTAAAAGAATTGTTTTTGAACTTTTTTCCTAAAATTTATTATAACTATGTTTACCATGTTTACAGAATGCCTTGTTTCACAAAAAAGAACACTGTTCAGATATTTTCTCTGGACTGTCAATTTCTGCATTTCATAATCATGTGATACCTGTGTTGGAGCCCTCCCAAAAACCTCCCCTGTAAAGTAAGTTTTTTATCACAATGGAATGATTCTGTAAATTTAATAGACATGTGTATAAGGGTATAAGGTAGGTGTTATAATCACAGTGAGCTGACTAGTCATTTCATTTTGTATGATTGGATTCAGATGTTATTCTATGTGTACAGAATGAAAGAATGTACAATTTTTATGATGAGAAATATATATGCGGTTGGATGAAAAGAAAGATTTTGTTTGAGTGAATGTTGTGTATGTGTCCATCACATTGTCTCAAGCCATGGTTGGAGTCCGCCTACAGCTCTCTCCTACCCGAGGCTGCTTGAGCGAATTAAGTATCGTTATCATGAATAATCAAACCTTATGTGTGATGTCACGTTATAACCCAATAAAAGTAATTGTTTATATTGCAGTTGACTTTAACGATAAAAAAACAAATGTTAGGTAAACAGTGACTGAAAAAAGAAGTCACATCAGAGGTTATTTTTAAATAATTGAAAACTTCAATCTCTTTTGGAAGGAACTGTTTCTGATCATCTTCTTGTAGCTTACTAACACACATGTCATCATATCAGGTTTTTAAAATTCTGCCATCAAATCCTTACCTTGTCATTTAACCTTCAGATTTTGTACTTGTTTGTTTTATTTAATTATGATCTTATATGCTTGTCTCATCTACTTCCCAAGGCAAGATGACATGACCATTACTTGGGTTTACCTTAATTGATCTTATTTATGGTTGATCTCTTTGTATACAGATTAGACTCATATATCTCTATATGGATTAAACTACTCTGATCTACACTAATTGTAAATTAAAATAAGATATATTCAGTCCAACAATCAGTGTTAACCAACATTTACAATGTGACCATCATTGCTGAGGGATGTGTAGCCTTTGACCCTGAAATTTACATGTCTGTCTTTGCATGCTTTTTACTTAGTCATGATGTAAAGATTTAACTTTCAATTCAAGTTCCCTCTTTGAGGGTGATCAACGGTTTTGTTTTTAATGGTATATTATAAATTATTTATATTTAATATTTTACAGATTTCAAAGTTAAGGAGATCATTCAAATGACAGAGGTTTTGGTCCATCTTGGTTTGTCTCAACAGTTAATCTTTTGGAAAGCAGTGTTGGAGAAAATATCAGCAACATGTGAAGACTGTGATTTAGTTTCATATGATATGACTAAAGAAAGTTAATATTTTTGATTCCATGGTTGTATGAACAAATGCTTTGAACTTTCCAAACATCATTGAAAAAGAAAATATGATGACCAAACAAAAATACATATTTGAACTTTCCACGAGTTTACAATGAAGAACATTTTGGGATCTTGATACAGGATATTATTGTGTTTAGTGTTTTAGTGTTTTATCTAATTTATTCATATTGTTTAGTGCATTAAATGCAAAAAAATGTTTTAAAGTCACTCTTGTGAAACCCATGCTAAGAACACAGGTCTCAAATATCTTAGAGAGTTATATTAGAGTTATATTGTTAGAATTGAAGCTTATTTATAAAATTATACCTTATATCTTTAAAGAAAGTTTCACAAAAAAATAGTCAAACTTGCATATACTGGTTAACATGTTAAAAGAAATATAATATCCTGGAAGTGATTAAGAATAAAAAAAAAAAGTTCATTTATCATCCTTTTCTTTTGTTCTTCTTGGTGACTTTTTTACAATAATCAAAGACATTTACATTTTAGCTCATCTGAGCAGAGGCTCTGTTGAACTTTTTCTGATCAAAGAGTCTCTGGTGTCTGTCCATCTGTCATCCATAAAAATTAAACCCTAAAATAGGGGTATCAAAGTTTGACATGGGAATAGATAGGAAAAAATTGTCCTTTAATGAACAACAAGGTAATGATTTACTCATAATGTATGCAAGCATCCTCAAGAAGTGAAGATTCAAGTTGGTCAAAATCATTTGCCTGACTTATTATTATAATAATATTAAAATATTCCCTATTTGTATTTTTTTCATTTTTTTTCTTCAAATAAATCTGAGATCAGATTTTACATATAAATTGGTAAATGCATGTATAAATGTGAAAAAAAACTTTAGAAAACATATAAGCCATGTTAGCCATATTGATAATGAAATATCCTCATGTTGTGGAATCAGTTTTGGATTAGACATGGCCTTATGGCCCAGGGTGGGGCCACAGTATTAGCTCAGATTTGTTTTTATGAGAATTAAGGGGGATAAGAATGTCTTAGAAATCTGAAGAACACCAAGGTGACTCAAGTGAATGTTGTGGGCCAGGCCTCTTATTTAAATTGCCCACTTCCATTATCCCTGCAGATTTTTAACATCTTATTTGGCATACTTTTTAAGGAGAAAATCATTTTTCTAACATTAATTTCCCTGTGTTTTGTACACACCATAGAGTAATATTTTAGATACATCTGGGCTTTCATATAAAGTGCTATTTTTAGATCAAAAGTGAGTCTCTTTAATTCTATTTTTAACACATTGCCATGTGGTTGGGACTACTTTCATGGCTAACATTTTCTTGTTTAACTAACAAGTATGCATTTAAAGAAATGTACCTATTGTAGTGAGTTTACATTTAAATCAAAGGTTCTTCACAAATAGTTGTAGCCACTTAATTGTTTTAACTATTTCATATTTTTTTGGATTTTTTGGTGCACTACTAAAACCTGTGGCTGCGCAGTCCTGCAGGTGTATTGTGCACTTCATAGCTGCAAACTGCTGCAAGTGTCAATTAAGCTGCATATACCCAGAGATTGTTTTCATTATGAAGATGACATGGACCAGTTTTCAAGTGTAAGCAAGGCTTAATTTTTGAGATATTAAGGTTTTTATTTTTAGTGAGTCTCACTTGGCTGCACACAAAACCAAACCCTTAAGAAAAATATTTTTGCGAAAGCAATGCATGCGCAAATTTGCTAAAAATTTATCTACAGCAAAAATTTCCAGATTTACGGTAGAGATAATTAGTAGGACGAAATCATAGAAGAATTTGAAATTAAGGCATTAAAAGGAGAATTAACAAAGAAAAGTTTTTTTTTATTATTTGAAAGAATTACAGGATAGGCTCAGATAGTTCGTACAGAAGTCATTCTTCGTACACTTATCAAGTAATTACAGCTATCCAGATAAAAGTATTATAGATATTATGCACATTTGAATTTACGTTTGTATATTTTTTTGTGGCACAGAAATTTGCAGCATAACAAGATAACAACAATTGAGAATTCCACTTTTGATAGTTGTCGCAGCCTCAGGAAATTGTGAGTAGAAAACATTTTATTAAAATTATTCCCAAAGAGTTAACAGGAATTCTTACTTTAGATTGGAATAAAGGCAGAAGAATGCAGGAATGTTAGGCAAATCTTTTACATTTTGTAATTATATTTCTATGTGATTTGAGCAATTTTTGCAATATGTGAACCATTTTGATATTTGGAGTATACATGTCTTTGTGTACTTACAAGTAGGATTTGTTGATATTGATCAAAGTAAAATACAGAGTTGCTTTCTTCATCTTTTTGTGAATAATCTTTGTTTCTCTCTTGACTTCAATAACAACACAACATGTAATTCACAAAAATTAGTTTATTTTGTTCTCCTGTCATTTACACGTGATTTTTTTTTTTGCGTTTTTTTTATATCATTCTAGGAATTTGAACTCGAACAGCATTGTTCTCCTCAAAGAAAACGCATTTCCGGTGTACAATAAAATTGAGGAGCTGTAAGTATTAAGACTATCTGGTAACTTATTTCATAAGATAATAAATACGACATTAATTTGGTTGCATGCAATAAATGGGTCAGAAAAAAAGAGAATCAAAAAGTAAGAACTTGAGACAAGCAATGCAGTGTTAGCTAATATTACTTCTGGTATTCTTCACAACTATCTTTTAAAGATGAGCATATATAGCGTATTCTCTTTGTCTCTTTTTTCCTAAAAACGATGTATTATTTAAACATTTTTTTCTTTTTTCATTCATTAAAGATTACAGTTTCAGGTTAATGCTTCAATTATTCTTAACCAAGTATAAAGCACATGCATGTGTATTTGCAATTCTGTAAAGCAGCATAGGTGAAATCAATTGAATTCTTTACATAAGGTAATATGATTCTATCTATTACTAAAATCCAGTAGTTCTATTATAAAGAAAATAGTGGAAAAGACAACATTTACCCATCCCATGCTGTTAAAACAATATTCAGTTAAGACTAACCTTGCCTCAAAGAATAACTTCCTTGTATTAATACAGTGCAGGCAACTAATTTTGTTACATAAACCAGCATCAGCATAAGCATTAGTAGCATCAGGATCAGCATTTAAAAAACAGCATTACCAGGATCAGCATCAGCAAGCAAAGGATAAAACCAGCATTGACCTACATAAAATCAGCATTATCCTACTAGCATCAGAAAATCAATGAGTTTTAATTCAGTAAAAAATTAAAAAAGAAAGAAAGAATATTGGTTAAAGTATTCACATTATTGATACATAGTGAGATATTATGACAAAATAATAGTAAAAGGCACTTTTATTGCTTTAAACGGCAATGCTGAAATTCATTATCTACTTCCGGTAGCATGATGCTACTTCCGGTAGCAATGACCTAATTATAAAACAGCATCAGGATAAGGATAACTAGCATTAAATCAGCAAGCAAAGGAAGCATTCAAATCAGCAAGCAAAGGAAGCATTCAAATCAGCATTGATGCTGTAACAAAATTAGTTCACTGCACTGTACAAAAAAATCATTATTCAATTAATCAAAAAGAGCTTTTTACATCAGCGTCTGTTTTAATGATAAAAAAGAATGAATGTTGGAAGTAATTGGTCCTGGGTTATGCCACCATACATACATTTTATATCACAAAACTAGAAAAAAAAGGCTACAGACTGACACAATTATGCAAGAGAATTACAATGTCTAGGGAAAATAAGTAAACATTTCGAAGTTGTACATGTAATTTGTTATTTTTTGCAATATCTTGCAAATTGGAAATGTGATTGGAATTTTTCTTCCCTAGGAATGAGATTTATATTATAGAGTAGATTACTTGCCCCTTTCCACCCAACACACATACTCATTCTAAAAGTATTTGGATCGCTTTCTATTTTGTAGAAAGATAGAAAACAACCTTCTTACAATTTTAACAAAAGAGATGTTTTCACACTTGAAGCATGTCAAACGCCTGTAAGTATGAGAACTATTCAATGCATGTACATGACATGTAAGTCTGCAGTATTTAGAGTAATAAAACAATATTATATTCCTCATCCCTCCTGAATTATTTGATTACTGGTTTTAGGGTATCGACTCATATTAGGACCTAATTTTCTAACCTTAATTACCAATCGTGTATAAAATACTCTGATATTATTTCAAAGCATTTTAGAGTAGAAAAGGATTAACCAAGAGAAATTTTCGAAAATTTTATTACCTAAGCAGTAATTAATCATTGATGATTGCATTGAAGTCTATGGAAAGAAGTACATTTTTGAAAATAAAAATAAATACTAAGAATATCAACAAATGCTGAAGTGGAAAGGTGTATTTAATTATTTGGAATAGAAAAACGATCGAAAACTATTTTTTCACCAGATAGATTTTTAGAACTGATTTTTATTGAGTAAAATCAAGGGGAGTTAACTCTTCAAGGACAGAACAAGGTCATAAATTAATACACGTTCCGCTCTTACATACTGATACTAAAACATGAAAATTATGTCTAAATAAATTGAGTATTCAGCCCATACATATCTGTTATGCATTCAATTCCACTGAATCTGAGGCTAATATGTGTCGGATACCTTTAGTTTTTTTTAACTCAATAATATTTAATTTGATAATACAAAAGGTAGATCTTCCTTGTTCTATTTTCAATTGTATGTCTATCAAATTCGTAGAACACGCTGAAACGGTGAAGAGTAGAATACATGTGTAGATAAAAGCAATTTGTAAGACAAAATAGTGATCCTATAATAACGCTATGGATGAAAAAGAAAATACCGAATTCAAGATCTAGATGTTCATTCAAAAGGCTATTTCTGTTTACGTTTGGCGTTTTATTCGTCATTAGATAAAATTCTCATGAAACACGATGTACGCTGCAATAATTTGATTTTTTAATTTATTTCCAGATACCTGGGATTCAACAAGATTAAGTATATAGAAGTGAACACATTTCAGGATATGTCTCAATTAAAAGTTTTGTTAGTATTTACCTTTTTATCTTCTTGTAGTGAATTTAATGTAACTAGTTATCATACAGTTAATGCCTGTCTAGTAAATTAACAACTCTTTTGTTCATATTAAGGTCGCTAATATCAAACCAACTAACAGCAATAAAAGACTACTTCTTTCATCATCTGACAAATTTGGGCATTTTGTAAGTAGACTTAGCAATATATACTTATTAACGATGTTCTATATCACGTATAATTACTACATGTATATTACCTAACGAGGTTTTAAAATCATTGTCTTACTCTGTAAATATTAAAAAAAAATAATCGTTACCATAGATATCAACAAGCTATATTTACACTAAATCCAAGTGTGTATATACCTTTAAAAGATACACGATTGATGAGAACGTCATTTGTATAGATTGTTTTACAGACACGTTGATGAGAACGAAATGCATAAACATGTACATGTATATTGTTTTAATGAGACATTGGAGAAAAGGACATGTATATATTATTTTACAGATATATTGAAGAGAACGACATGCATATACATGTATATTGATTTACAGACAGTGGTGAGAATGACATTTGTATATTTTTTACAGACGCATTGATATATTGTTTTACAGGTATATTGATGAGAATGAGATTTTTAGGATAGAAGATCACTCGTTTGCTTCTTTGTCTTCTTTACATACATTGTAAGTATGTGTTTTAAAGGTTAACTTGCCACAGGGTTGATAAATTAGGATATCATTTGTGTATCTATATATATCTGTATAATAGCTATTCTAAATGTCTACAAAGCATCACAAACATTCTAAAACAGAAAATAGTAATCTTGAACAATATTTATACCATCTTATTTATTTTAGTCTAATTAAGTGGACAGTTTTTAAAGTTTGTGAAAAATTGCATAAATTTTATTTTTTTATTTTAATTTAATTATATTTTTTTTCTTTTAAATAAAAATAAAAGAAAAACAATTCCAAAAAATATTGATTACGTCATTTCAATTTCAGAGGCTTGTCAAAGAATAGGATTATTTCCATATCATCAGAGGTTTTCCGTGGTCTAGAGAACCTTACCCATTTGTATGTTGTTGTTTTTTTTTATTTTCATCCAGTGTCTATATAAAACTTTTATTTCTTATTTCTCATTATCTTTTTTTCATTTGTTAAGCCTGTTTGTCAATAAATCGTGTTCGGGCAATAAACTTCCAGACTGTGGAAGTAAGTTTGCCTTTTTATTTCTCTATAGTTGATTGGAATGAACCCGACCTTAATATAAAATTGTCATTAGCCGGAATGTGTATCAATGTCTGATCCAGGATCAAGTCTCCAAGTCCTAGTATACTGGATATTGAGAAAGTGAAATGGTCTCAGGGCCTCAACTCTCAAACCCTTGATTGCGTTGAATTCAAATTAAAGTACGTTGTTGCTCTCGTGTTATACCCTGACTAATTTACATTATTAATAAATAATTATTAAACTTTATATTTTACCTAGGCTATATAAATTTAATCATATAACCATAAAACTTAATATTATACCTAGGGCTTTATAACTTTGTATTATACCTAGGGCTTTATAACTTTGTATTATACCTAGGGCTTTATAACTTTGTATTATACCTAGGGCTTTATAACTTTGTATTATACCTAGGGCTTTATAACTTTGTATTATACCTAGGCTGTATAACTTTGTATTATACCTAGGGCTTTATAACTTTGTATTATACCTAGGGCTTTATAACTTTGTATTATACCTAGGCTGTATAACTTTGTATTATACCTAGGGCTTTATAACTTTGTATTATACCTAGGGCTTTATAACTTTGTATTATACCTAGGGCTTTATAACTTTGTATTATACCTAGGGCTTTATAACTTTGTATTATACCTAGGCTGTATAACTTTGTATTATACCTAGGGCTTTATAACTTTGTATTATACCTAGGGCTTTATAACTTTGTATTATACCTAGGGCTTTATAACTTTGTATTATACCTAGGGCTTTATAACTTTGTATTATACCTAGGCTGTATAACTTTGTATTATACCTAGGGCTTTATAACTTTGTATTATACCTAGGGCTTTATAACTTTGTATTATACCTAGGGCTTTATAACTTTGTATTATACCTAGGCTGTATAACTTTGTATTATACCTAGGGCTTTATAACTTTGTATTATACCTAGGGCTTTATAACTTTGTATTATACCTAGGGCTTTATAACTTTGTATTATACCTAGGCTGTATAACTTTGTATTATACCTAGGGCTTTATAACTTTGTATTATACCTAGGGCTTTATAACTTTGTATTATACCTAGGGCTTTATAACTTTGTATTATACCTAGGGCTTTATAACTTTGTATTATACCTAGGCTGTATAACTTTGTATTATACCTAGGGCTTTATAACTTTGTATTATACCTAGGGCTTTATAACTTTGTATTATACCTAGGCTTTATAACTTTGTATTATACCTAGGCTGTATAACTTTGTATTATACCTAGGGCTTTATAACTTTGTATTATACCTAGGGCTTTATAACTTTGTATTATACCTAGGCTGTATAACTTTGTATTATACCTAGGGCTTTATAACTTTGTATTATACCTAGGGCTTTATAACTTTGTATTATACCTAGGCTGTATAACTTTACATTTACATAAATTGTTCTGTATCATTTTCTATTAAATCTAGGCTATATAACTTCATAAATATATAACTAAATAATTTAATTTTGTTTGAAATGCATAATTTGATTGGATAAAAAATTAGTTTTATTGTATAACCTATGTTGCTCAAGTCACAATGACATGTCAAAAACGTATCCATATGATATATCATTTAAAACATGTACAAAATGAAGACATTTTTGAAGGAGATTTTTTTTTTTTTTTTACAATTTCTGCATACTTGACTTAATGATTGAAAATTAAATTATGAGGAATAAACTTAAAACTACCCAAGTTATTGTGCTATAGCCTGGGTTTAAACAGTTTACGTTTTTTATAAACCGCTTCATTTCTTAACTAACTTTATTTTATACTTCGGTTATATTACTATATAACTTTATATTATACATGGACTATATAATTATATAACTTTTTTTTTAATATTTAGGATATACATGTATAACTTTATAATCTTTCATTGGAACTATTTACATGTAATTTATAGTAAGTTTTTGCCCATGACATTGGGCTCTGTTGCTACCTTAAGATTCAAGGTCTTATCAACAATATCTAGAGATCATGACTAAGTTCACAGTTGACAGCGGGTCATCTCTTTCCATTAAACATACGATCTTGTTTGATTTGATTTTTTTCTCAGTTTTCGTAATAGAATTCCAGAAATGCTTGGATAATTAAACATTAATGTTTCATTTACATTTCACACAATGTAACATTAACATTTCAAACAACTCAACATTTACATTTCAAACAACTTAAGCTGTCAATTCCTGTCGAACGTGATATGAAATGGTATGTAGGTATTCAGAAATTAAAGGAGGTATTTTAAAGTTGTATATTTTTTCCACCTTGCTGAAGAACATAGGAGGTAGAGCATTAAATGGGGTTGTCAGAAGAGAGAAAATAACAGATATTATCATATTATTGTGCATCTTACAAAACCCTTTTGTTTTTTATTTGAAATTGACTAAACCTTATCACCAAGCAAAAAAATAATAATAAAAGCGCTTATGTCATCATTTTCAATATCAATAAAATATTATTGAGAATACTTTTTATTGAGTTCACATTGCAATCCCCTTTCCCAGTCGATAGTATTATATACGTTGAGAGAATAATATTACTGATACTCCTGATCGAATCTGAGGTATTAACAGGCTAACTTTTTCACCCCTATGTTTGTTGACGTGGTGACAAGATTTCTTTCTTTATAAAAAATGTTTAATAAAGAAACACAATTATTAAATTTTCAGATAGAAACTGAAAAGGTGTTTAATTTTTTTCATACTATTTTTTTCAATTCTGTATTTTTTTTCCTACAGGAATCTAGTTTACAATCAAATTGTGAAAGTCTCACCAAACGCATTACGACACCTGAAGAAACTCATATCGCTGTATGTATTTTTGTACAACCGTCTTTCTAACGGTGAAGATTCTAAAACTTACTGTTCAAACGGCAGGACCATAAATAGATAATCTATCATTGGAAATTAACATATCACCAGATAGCTTTTAGAGTCTGCAAATTAATTATTGATCATTTTTAACCAAAGTCCTCTACACATTAGGAAACAAAGCAATATTTTCTAGATCCAAGAATTGAATGCAAACAAATGACACTTAGACTGGGTTAATGTGTTGCAATAAGTGTTTCACATCCAGCAGTTAGGTATTTTTAGCTCAAATGAACCGAAGCCTCAGTTGAGCTTTTCTGATAAAAAGATCTCCAGCATCTGCCTATCTGTCTGTCTTCTGTTGGTAAACTTTTCACATTTTCATCTGCTTCTCCAAAACAACTGGGCCAATTTCAAGCAAATTTGCCGTAAAGAGTCCTTCGGCAAGGGGGATTCAAGTTTGTTCACATGAAGGGCCACGCTAACTTCAAGGGGAGATAATTAAGAATTAGTATAAATTTAATGACATCTTTAAAAAATCCTACTCAAGAACCACTGAGCCAAAAAAGATGAAACGTTTTTGAAAACTTCATTACATAGTGTATATTCAAGCATATTTGAATGACCCAGGGGTAGAGTGGAGCTTCAACAAGGGATCAAATTTATAAATAGGAATATATATGAGATATCTTAAAAATCTTTTTCTTAAGAACAACAAAGCCATGATTAGTTATATTAATTCAGAGGCGTCCCCAGGTTGTTGATTAAGCTTTGTACAATGCATGACCCCCTGGGGATAGAGTGGGGCCACAACAGGGGAGATCTAAGTTATGCCTAGGAACAAAAAGGGAAAATCTTTAAAAAATTTCTTCTCACGAACAGCAGAACCATGCATGATTAGTCATATTAATATGGAAGCATATTCGTGACCTCTTTGGATAGATTGGAGCCACAACACTGCAAACACTGACATAAACGTATTTAAGCTTATAAGAAAAGGTTATTTTTTACTAAGTGAACAGAATGCTGTGGGTCCCAAAATATCAATGTGGGCTAGTAAAACTTGTGAAGTTGGGAGCCCCCTTACTTTTCAATACTGAACTTATTTCTGTTTTTTCTCTGGTCATAGAGCTCAGGTGAGCGAAGTGGCCCATGGGCTTCTTATTATCATTTATCATAGGAAGTAAGGACCTGAATCACCATTTTGTGTCTTTTGCTTCTATTACAGAGATCTCCGGAATAACGCATTTAGAAGCCTCCAAAAACAGACATTAAGAGAACTCTCATCACTTCATTATGTGTAAGTTTCCTAAAAAGTACTCAAAAGGTTATTACCACCATATAACTACTGGTCACGATATCTTTAAGGATTTAATGTCATTGTCCTCTGCTTATATCAATAAATACTTGATCCAAAATAACATCCAATTTATCTTTTGACATGAAAATTTGGAAGATCATTAAATGGCAAACGTGAAATAAAATCACATTAAATAAGTGTATAAACTAAGAATTTTTTGTAGTAATCACTAAATATTCTTATGCTATAAAGTACAAGTAGAACCTAGTTCACAGAAAAAAAATGAAATAAAACGAAAGGCGCACTTAGTACAAGCAATAAAACTGACATATGGCGAAGTTGAAAAGGGTTTAATTGATAAAACATGAAGATAAAGAATAGTGATCAAGCTCTGCAGTTCATTGAAACAATAAAAATTGAGAGCAAGACAAACACGGACCTTTAAAAACATCAGAGGTGGGATCAAGTGCCTTGGAGGAGAAAGCCTCCCCTGTCGACTGATCACATCCGCCGTGTGCTCTTTGTCATCATCGAGCAACCGGAAAAATTCGTAGACAATTTTATGTGAAAATAATGACCTAACATTTTATATGAAAAACGTCAGTCAACATTCGACTTAATAAAAGATTGTATTTGGTTGACAAGGGCATTATATCGACTATAGAATTTGCGAAATTATGACTACTTTAAATGAGATTGATATAAGTATTGTATCGTAAGGGACTTAGTCAACAACATTGAGATTATTTGACTTTCTAGTTTTTGGTTGAACTTGAGAACAAAAAATCAAAAAGCAGTATCTCCGCTGCATCTTATATTTTTGTAGTATACATTAAAAAACCCCAGGAGAGAGTTTTTGTGTGAAATAGAAATAAATCTGTAATGTACTCTTAGTATTAAAATCACACATTAGAAAGGTAGTGCTCAGAAGACATCTATTCAACACAGTTTGTCTTTCGAATCCTAAAGACAAACCTAAAGACAGTCAATATTTAGATATCTAATATAAACTAATCGCAAACTTTGCATTCAAAATTGTACTTCTAAGAACGGATCAGAATTACTAGTATTCTTTGTACAGAGGGTCGAGTAATTATAATAATGACAATGTGTGAAAATGGTAAAAGCACTTATAAGTATAAGAATTTTTCACTCATATAGGGACGTCACCGTATCCCGTTGAAGGGCTTCAAATTTAGACCTTTACTCCGCACTCACGGCCATTGAGCAGTGATGGTTCTTTATCGTGCAAACGCCTGCCCTGACACAGGGCCTCGGTTTTCAAGGTCCATCCGAAGGACCCGCAATTTTCACTTCAAAGTGCCGAGCGCTTGACGAAGGAACAGTTGCTACCTATTTTTTTTTTATCGACTTAGGTCAGTCGCGGCCGTGATTCGAACACACGACCTTTCGATCACAGATCTCTGTTGATTTGTATATTATTACTATTTGTCAAATATTATTAGAGTTCTAAATTCTGTCTTTTAACAAAACCCGATTGAGTAACACAATTACATGTACCTCCCTCGGATGCAATTAATGGCTGATTTTGAATAATCTTTACATTAAAGCACAAGACCTGATTTGAATATATTAAAGATAAAAAACAGAGTGTAAAAAGCTTTATTTTATTCATTCTAACGGTTACAGTTTTGAAAATCTTAAACGTTTTTTATTTGAATGACTAGAATAATCTTCTGACATGGTTTCTCCTTCAATATGCGTTTCCACTTTTACTGAGCCATTGGGTAATATAGGTGTTAGATTTCTTTTATTTCTTCATTTTTATGCATTATTCATTTAAGGTATTTTGATGAGTTTTACATGTGCGCCTACGTGCCAAGTGATGTGGTTTGTCAACCCTTTGGAGATGGCATTTCAAGTAGATACAACTTACTGGAAAACGGATTCCTTCGCATCATGGTATGGCTTGTTGCCATTTGTGCTTGTTTCGGCAACCTCTTGGTTCTCTTAGGAAGAAGTCTGTTACGTGAAGATAATCAGGTACATTCGTTTTACATTAAAAACCTTTCCTTTGCTGACATGTTGATGGGGATTTACTTGATCATTATCGGGTATCATGATCAGAAATTCAGAGGAAGTTACCTCGTGGAGGACGAGGAATGGCGCTCCAGTGCCACATGTGACTTATGTGGTATTCTTAGCACGCTCAGCAACGAGGCCTCCGTATTAACCTTGACCTTGATAACTCTGGATCGTTATATCAGCATTACTCTTCCTCTGTTCCGAAGACGGAAGAGTTTTAAGTTTGCGCTGATGAATGTTAGTATTATTTGGATTATCTCGCTTTGTCTCTCTGTGCTTCCTGTGATTCTTCCTGATTTATTTGGAGTCTACTTCTACAAAGATAACGCTGTGTGTGTTCCTTTCCATTTACACAGACCATGGGTCAAAGGATGGCAATACTCAGTGTTTCTCTTCCTAGGATTGAATTTGGCAGCATTTACCTTTATTTGTTTTGCATACATCACCATGTTTATTGCAATAAAGCGATCTACGAAGACTGTGAGGTCTCATTTTGAGAATAAGGAAAGGACTCTTGTAAAACGATTCTTTTTTATTATTTTAACTGACTTTCTTTGTTGGATGCCAATTATCATCATCAAGTTCATAGCTATTTCAGGTAAGACTTATCAAAAATGAGAATCGATTTGTAAATCCATAATTACTAAATATTGATTTTTATAATATTTAAGTGTATATTGATGTCCAATTTAAAATCTGAGTAAAATAAAGTAATTTATAATGTCCTCATGTAATGTGAATATTTTTTGTGATATTGAATATGTATATTTTAAAATTTAATTTCCATATTCAGGACAACAAATAAACCAGGACACTTATGCTTGGTTGATTATTTTCGTCATGCCTATAAATAGCGCCATCAACCCTCTTCTTTACACACTGACAACGAAATTATTCAAGGAAAAGGTGATGCCAAAACTGTGTTGTGGATTCAAGATTGTTCGCCAGGAACCAATACTTAAAGAGAATTCCTCCTCCTCGTCGTCGTCCTCAACTGGTGGGCGGAGGAACCGATCCTCAATTCGGAGCTCGCTAGAAAAGGATCTGTGCGAGGTTGGCGCCAATACCTTACGTGTCAGCGCGCGAAAACTTAAGGGGAACTTTGATTCGGTAACTATTTTACAAAGTACATCAAATTCAAGATGAAAAACTTGATTTAATAAGCATATAGAAGATTCTTTCAATATTTCAATTATTAAGGATGACTTTTTTTTCAGTTGACAAAAATAAAGAAAAATAAATAAATAAATAAAAAATAGATAAATAATTAAAAAAATATCCAGTGCTTAGAATGAAGAATAATCTATTGTACATTGTAAGACTATGTTTGTAGTGTTAAGTATTCACTTTCAAATAACTATGTCAATGACCTACTTTTCATGCTTCTGGCCCCTGAGTATTTTTCGGAAAAAAACCTGAATTTTTTTTTACACTAGGACCAATATTTTCCTTATTAACAAAATATAAAAGTAACAATACTCATTGGATAATGAACTATAATATAAATAGAATAGTTTTACTATATATAAATTAATTTTTTCTTTGGACGATAAAGTTCTTAATTATTGTAGTCCAAATTTCCTCCTTCAATTTTCTGATTTTTACCCACTTTAAATCTAATATTATAAAAATCTGAGTGATAAGAACTTGTATAAACTATCTATAGCCCAGTATACTTTTGTTGCGCTAATTATGCTAGTACAAAAATTATAAGTGGTCAATGATCAAACTCTTGTGAAAAGTTGCTTGGAATGGTTTTTGTTGATATTTTTGAAATTCTTCATTGCATTTTCAATTATTTCAAAATGCATTTGCTTTATCACAAACAATATTTATAAATTGCAATTGGTGTTAAAACATAATGAATCTTAACCTTATGAATGATATTGCAGGAAAAATTCGTGAACTAAATAAAAATTAAAATTTAGTCCGAATTTTTGCTGCATTACAATAAATTTACTTTTGTTCTTGCATATTTTCTTCAAATAATAAAATAATATTTTTAAGTTGATAGTGCGATATAACAGGGTAATTTAATCCATTTAAAACATTTTTATCTAATTTATTGTTCTTTATATTATTTCATGTCTGTCAAGTAAACCCTAAGTAAACGTCATCCTTAAGGTTGTTAGTATTGGAACTTATCGATTTTTCATTATATGTTTAATTATGCTTTCAGTCATTAAATGAAGATGTCTGTCGAAATGGGAATTATCTCAGCTTTAAGACAAGAAGTGAAATGAATTTCTACAACAGTAACACGGGGAGAGTTTGTGCTAAAGAAACCTTGTATATTCCACAGAGAGTATCAACTGCAGTTTAAATAAAAGACGATCATATTTTCCCTTAATTTGCTCCGATGTTAGTAATATAGACTTAATGAATTTTCACCTTTTTTATTGAAAATACAAATAATCTGGTGGTTCTCAATAAACCAGTGGAATTTTTAATGACATTTTTCTTTATGTTTATTAATTATGATGTATTCTTTTTTATTCTGAAAAACTGGTTTATATGATGCGGCTTTTCATTCAATGCCTTTCACAACTTAATTAAAACGTAATATAGCGTGAGAACACACAAACTGTTGAATAATTGTTTCTTTAACAATGTCCAGTTTCAATGTTTGATTCACTAAAATCATACGTATTTTTTATATTAAATCTTGAATAAATTATCTTTATTTCAGTCTTTCAATCCTATCAAATGGAAACAACAACACAAATTATTTTGGTGGTATTGCCTTCCTTTCTTTCCATCATGGATACTATTTACACATTGAAATGAAATATGAAGATAATGTACAGTCCATTAAAACAATAGAAATTTGGAGCAGGGCAAACACGGACCTCTTAAAACAACAGAACTTGGATCAGGCCGGTCACACCTGCCATGAAAGGGCAAACGGAAAATCTGTACACAATTCAGTGTGGAAATAATGGTCTAACAATTTGATTGTCGATTGATTGGTTGAATGTTGTTTTACGTCCCGTTCGAGAATTATTCACTCATATAGAGACGTCACCATATACCAACTTAAGGGCTTCAAATTTAGACCTTTACCCGGCACTCAGGGCCATTGAGCAGTGAGAGTTCTTTATCGTGCCAACATTTACCGCGACACGAGTCCTCGGTTTTTTAAAGTCCCATCCGAAAGACCCGCAACTTTCACTTCAAAAGGCCGAGCGCTTGGCGTAGGAACAGTTGCTACTCTTTTTCTCTATCGACTTAGGTCGGTCGCAGCCGTACGCGTGATTCAAACACACGACCTTCCGATCAAGGAGCGAGTGCTCTACCGACTGAACTACCATGACGTAACAATTTGCATGAAAACAGTCAATATTCGACTTAATGTTAGGTTGTATTGCTAACAAGGTCATTGTTTTTTACCATATAATTGCAAAATGTTGACTTTAAACGAGACTGTTGATATTCTTGACTCATCAACTTATTTTTCAAATTGATTTATTTTAGAAATTGTTCGTACATAGAACATACTCTTGCATATCAAATCAATTGGGATACATAAACTCCATGTGCAAGTGATATTCGTATATTGCTACATAAATAAGAAAAGTGACGATAGAAAAGTTGAAATCATCACGTTTATCATGAAGTTTTGTTTTAAGGTCACTATTAACGCCCTTTTCTAGAAAAATGTCCAAATATGAAACAGATGCGCCAGACTCTGTGGTATCTTTTATTTAGAGTTCAAAGGGATATATCGAATCAACATAGAAGTGAAAATAAATATTGTAATTGATATTGTTGTTGATATATCTAAATGTCGAATTGAAGGCCACCTCAAGAGACTCTTCTTTTCATAGAGAAGTTTTTGAATAATTTCTGCTTGATATGAATATAATAATTAGGTCTGCTAAAAATCGGATGCAATTAGTATTCATGGGAAATCAGGCAGATCGTTGGAAGAATTGATCTACAAAAAAAAAAAAAAAAAAAAAAAAAAAAAAAAAAAAAAAAATACTCGTATTGTCAATCAGAACCTCGAGCATCTTTTTATTATCAACTTTGAAGTACCTGTGTGTACAATCAGAACGGTTTTTTTAACCAAAATGATTTTACCATTGGTCAATGACAAGATAAGTAAATTAACGAGTTCCTTTTTTTTTTTTTAATCGAAAAAGCAGCTGTATTTGATGTCAAAAAGCCAAAAAGGCAGAAATATACATTCTATTTTCCATGCGCCCCTCTGGCTTATATTGGTATCTCGGGCTGATACAGATTATAATTTGTAAAATGATATGTTTTATTATGCTTATAACATACTAAGTTATAAAATACATCACATACATGTATTTGCATGAGTAAATACAAATAAATAATCACTGACTAGCTTATTTGTTGGTTTGTATGTTGTTTAACGCCCCTTTCGAGAATTTTTCACTCATATGGAGACACCACCACTTGCCAGTGGAGAGCTGCAAATTTTGTCCTATGCTAGGCACTCAGGGCCATTGAGGAGAGAGGGATCTTTTTCGTGCCAGCACCTACTGCGACACGGGACCTCGATTTATACGTCTCATCCGAAGGACGGGTCTCCACGTCCCACAATGGGATTCGAAGCCGCGACGTAAGGATCAAGTCCTTACTTCGCGACTCTAGAGCAGACGCTCTAACCACTGCGGCACGCTTATTATATCAAAGAATAGTAATTTAAAATGAAGAAAATGCAATGAATGAAAATACGTACTATTTTTAAGGATTATTCAACAAGGGTGTGATTTACATGTATAGAGAATAATACATTCTCAATTCCATATCACATCCTGTATTAGCCCTGGACACCAGTATCAGCTTGTGGGCTGATACTGGTCGAAGGCTGATATAGGATGTGATGTGGAAAAGGTATGTTTTGTTATGTTCACTAGTATTACATACTTAGTAATAAAATACAGCACAACATGAATTTACAAAAAATACAAATAAATAATCACGAGTTGACTACTGATATGTAGCTTATTATATCAAAGAACAGTTATTAAAAATAGAGAATGTGAACAAAAATAGGTGTATTATCATAAGTACTGCTTTTAGAAAAATGTTTAATCAACATAAGTTGTGATCCGTATCGTCCGTATCAGCCCTGCTGATCCATATTAGCCCTGCAGGATCTGTATCAGCCAAGGAAGCTGACGCGGCTGATGTGACGTCAGACATATCACATATGCACTAAAACCTGTATTTATTACTAATACATGTATGTTGTATGTATCACATGTAAGTGGCTATGTGCACAGGTATGAAGAATTAGTGACTATTTACACATGGAACATGTATACATATATCACAAACTAGTGGTGGTTTATGCGCATGCAAGTCAACGTACTTACTCTATTGAAAATTTAAAAAAAATCGCGAAAGTCCTAATAGATCCGATTACAGCTAGAGATTATTTTAACATTGTTCTACTTTTGTACATTTAAATGGTAAACAAAAGTACATTTTCCTAAATACATTGATTAAATTTATTTGGGTATGTGTACAAGGGTTGTCCTGTAAATTTCGTAGACAAGCGTAGTTTTGTAGGAACCCGGTGTCATAAATTAATGAAACTTTGTACATAGATTAAACCAGCAATATTTAATAAATTTATTGTCAAACATTACGTAATTACAAAGATGGTCAAACATTGAGTAATTACACAGAGTACTATATAAATAAAATATTCCATTGCCTGGCATAAGAGGGCTGCGCAGTTCCCCAAAATTTCAATTAACGAGGTTCGCTCCTGGGCTTTTGAGCAGATTTTTATCTTAACCTATATTTCAAAAATTCTGCATAAGGTTTTAATTCTTACAATAAATTTGGATTCTACAATGCCAATTTAACTATATATAGTCAAAACAACATGATAAAATTCCATACCAAAAGCATTAAGTGAGGAACTATATTTTGTGGAGGAAGGTTTTTTTTTTTAGAAAAAAATGATCAATTTTTCTCTTTCGAAGTATTTAAAGTATGTTAAGTTTGGATTCCTATTTTTACATGCAGTCTGCACACAAAGTTATTTTGTGCTGTGAACTGTTTTATACTGGTCCTAAATTATCTATTAAATAAACTGTCTTGAATTCTATCATCATTTGATAAATATAGCAAATACATCGTGAAAATGAAGAAAAAAAATAGCACTAATCTAAGCTTAAAATTAGCACCATTTTAGTAATATCTAAAAATTAACATCACAGACCCCCATTTTTAATTTTCTTTTCTGAATATATAAGATACTTTTGAACATTCTTCTTAAATTCAGTAAAATTTAATTACTTTCAAATGACTTTTTTTGCTGTTAAATTTTTAATGCCAGAAAAATGAAAATTTTTGAGTGCAAAAAGGTCAAATAATTGAACATGCGGAGTAATTTGAAAATTTCTTCGTTGTCACAAATTTTAATGTGTCTATTTAAGATGAAATAAGACTGTGTTTGTTCCCATAATTTATTTGAACAAAAAATATTGATGGAAAAACTTTAAACATTGATTTATGTGTAAGACATGTTTACAGTGCAAAAAGGTCAAACTAAATGCTCTGTAGCGCATTGACCCCCATTTTTTGTTTTGATTTTTAATTAAGCTATGTGTATAAATTCTAAAAATATACTTGATAAAAAATTCTCATTACTTCTCATTACTTTTGATGGCAGGATCCAACCTCCTTAAAAACTGGTATTTAATATTTAAAATCCTACGGAAATAGTATTGGTTTTATGAACTTAATGTTCCACTTATCAAAATTAAATGTTGAGCCATATTTTTTTTTCAAGCAACATTTAAATCTAAAGAACTAAAAGTAAAATATGATTGTATTTTCGAATATCAATTCTTTATTCTTATTCTTTGAATGGTAAAATGTAAAACAAAGTGTCTCGCATAGGTACATTTGCACTAGTGCTTAATTTACCTTTAATGCACGTATGTGTGATATATATTTAAGGGTTAATCTTTTACGTGCCGCTAAACTTTTCTTTACCAGTTCTTTCTCCAAAGGAAAGTGGAAACAGATTGATATTAACTTTAACTCTGTGGATTTCAATTAAAACAGAAAAAAATTTTGTTTGGTAAAACTTAATAAGACTGAAGCATTCATAATTGATTGTACCAATACGTTTTCACGGAACGGTTTTTCAAATTGACATTTTGCACTTCAACCATCTTTCTTCTTCATCATTCAATTACTAAGAGAAATAGGTACACTCTTCTGAAACTGATCCCACTTGATACTACTTTTGTACTTAATGCTCTTCTAAATTTTAATTCAAATATTTCTTTTTTGACATAATATGATAAATTTGTCATACTAATTTTAACCCCGCCTATGGCAGGCTGTCAAAGCTTGGTCTTCAGGATTTCATTCTATTTCTTGTACTGATGTTGGTCAGAATTATGAAATACTACAATGTATTTACATCCATCGCATATTATCTCCTTTATTTTGTTAAAAAAAAAACCAAAATCTTTCATCAAAACGTTAACACTTGTATAGATTTCCACAGAAATTAGCGTGGGCTCCTTGGTCATTCATATGTATACAGACGGTGTTTGAACTTCAGCGAATAATTGAAGAGTATTTGCATTATTTATCAACATTTCTAATTTGATTCTTTTTTACTCCAGATCGTATGTTTAAGTCTCTAATACTTTCCTTCAAGAAAACTTCAAGAACGTCTGTTTAAACACCAAATGTATGTTTAGTACATTGTATATAGCATAACAGTATGTTGGTTAGTAATGTTAAAAGAGATACGATTGAACAAAATCTTCCCGGTATGTATTATATACTTTTTACAGTTTTAAAAATTCAACAGCTAAAAATGATTTTGTTAACTTGGTAAGAACTTATAATCAAATTAAACAAAGTTTGTAGGGACTGAGTGCTGATAAGCAAATATCTAAAGAGAATAGATTAAATTCTGATAAAAAATTGTCCTGTCGGTCCCCTTCATAATGTAAATAGTAAAGATAAGGAACATTAATCGATGAAATATGGAGACAACAAACAGCACCCAAGCTCAAAGTCCATCAAAACAATACAAATCCGGAGCAGAGCAAACACGGACCTCCAAAAACATCAGAGATGGAATCAGGTGCCATGGAGGAATGAGCATCCCCTGCCGACCGGTCACACAAGCCGTGTGCTCCTTGTCATGGTCGGGAAATAACGGAAAAATTCGTCGACAATTCACTTTGTAAATAATGGTCTAAAATAAATATGAAAAACGGCAGTCAACATATGACTTAATGATAGATTGTATTTGCTTTCAAGGTCATTGTATCGACCACAGAACATACGAATTGTTGACCTTAAATTTAGAAATTGTTCATACGTAGAGCATAGTCTAGCGAATCAATGAGAGATATACACACCATATGCAGGTGATAAGGGTGCATTGCTGCATAGGTAAGGGAAATTGCCGATTGAAAAGTTAAAGTCATCACGTTTATCATAAAGCTTTGTTGTTGTTATATTACCGTCTTTTTCAAGTAAAATATCCAATTATGAAACAGATGGTCAGACTCTGTGGTATCTTTTATTTCAAGTTCACTGGGATATATTGTGTCGACATATGAGTGGAAATAACTATGTTAATTGACAATACGTCGGTGATATATCTTAATGTCGAGTTGAAGGCGGCAACAAGAGATTTTTTTCTCATGTATAAAATTTTGAATAAATTTTCCTTCATATGCTAATAAGGGGGCTCAATTGGTACTCATGGAAATTCCAACAAATTGTTGGAAGACATGGTCTCCAAAAACCACATGGATACTGTCAATCAGAATCTCAAGCATCTTTTTAATATCAACTTCAGAGTACTTGTGTGTACAATCAGAATGATTTTTTAACACAATAATTTTGCAATTGACCAATGACAAGGTAGGTAAATTAACGAGTTCCATTTTTATTGAAAAAGTAGCTGTCAATAATGTCAAAAGCCTGGACTTTGCAAGATTTACAATTAATATAATTTTTGATATGATAAATAATGGGTTTGTGTTTGAACGCGTTTCAAAAAACTAAGAGTAAAAAACTTTCTGCATTATCGAAAAGTAGGAGTGTGCAGGATGATATTGAGTTTGAGGACAATAAGGGAAATATTTATCATATCAAAAATTATATTAATTGTAAATCTTGCAATGTTGTATATGGAGTTTTTTGTAAAAAGTGTAATAAGATTGTGTATGTGGGAGAAACTGGTGGGACTTTATACCAAAGACATGTCTTAAATCTCTCACTCATTAGAAGAGAACCAATGACCCTGTTGCTGCACATTTTTACTCAGAATTTCACACATTAAAAGATTACAGTATTATAGGTATTGAAAAACTGTACAATAATGACATTTATCAGAAATATATAGAGAGAATCTATACAAGAAGAAAAAATTAAATACTTATATACCATTTGGTATAAATAAAAGGGAGCACTATTGCGCCTAAACCATTGTATGAACAGTTTTGCGTGTGTACATTGTATATATGAATATGTTTATTTATATGGAATAATTTATTTTACATTATTTAGAGTCCAAATATATGTATCATTTGATTACTTTTGCAACTCTCGCAATCTTTTCAGATGTTTTTCGCGCAATTTTGATTCATGACGTTGTCTTTCTATTGTATGTAAATTGTGACGTCATAATACGTTGTTCAACGTTAGTTGCTATGCATTTAAATAAACACGACTGATGAAGGCCGGTAACACGGTTGAAATATTTCAAAAAGTGTTTTAAAGTGTTTGTATTATATATATATATATATATATATATATATATATATATATATATATATATATATATATATATATATATATATATATATATATATATATATATATATATATATATATATATATATATATATATATATATATATATATATATATATATATTAAAATACAAGTAAGAGTACTAATTCCTATCTAAATGATGTTGAAGGCAGAACAACACTTTGTCATTATTCGACAATATTTTATTAGATATTTTTATCTAGAATCAGTAAAATTGTCACATATAAGGAATTCTTTTATTTATGACCTCCGTGACCACCTGTACAGCATCCCCCTTTGCACCTTTTGCCGTGGCCACCGCAGTCTGAGTTACTGCTACACATATTGGAATGGGGACATTTGGCCGCCTTTGTCGTCGTACAACAGTAATGATCTACGTAATGCACACAGGTACGGCCATGACTACACGGACTCTCTGGCGTACACTCGTCACCTGGGGCACAGACGTGTATTGGCTGTGTGGTCTCACAGCATTTGTGGTCCACATAGTCTTTACATATTCGCCCTTTACCACATTGAGAGTCAGTAGTGCACACGTCACCAGGGGCACAGACGTGTACCATGGCCTCACAGCATTTGTGATCTACGTAGTCTTTACATACTCGCCCTTTACCACATTGAGAGTCAGTGGTGCACATGTCTGCATTAGTACAGATATGCTGAGACTGCGCAAATCCTACAGGATAAAAGAAATCGTATATTTAACATCGTATTGATAAACACTTATAAATAAATTGTCGTGGGCCCTCTATGTATGATTTTAAAATTTCTTGTTATGAAGATTTAAAGTTAGATTTGAATAGGAATGGGAAATACTTTTATCGAAATTTGAATAGTGAAACTGGACTTAATTAAGGTAGTACAAAACACCCATTAAATATATTTGAACTAATTTCTTAAAAATTACAATTGAGAAAAAAGAATAATATCCCTATATTGTCAATAATTAATGATCTTTGTAAGAAAATAATAAGCTGTGACATGTTTTCGTTATATTTTTTTTAAATTAGAGACATCCTATATATTGGTCACAAGGGAGCTTACATATTAGAATATGTGTATGTTGTCTAGATGCGATATGACAGTGTTATTAAATGCAGTGTAACTTTTGATCCATAAATAGTAGAGGGCTGATATTCGGACATATATATGAAGAGTCTCCATTCGTTATCTACAATAAAAGTCAAGGTCATAATAAGAGGTCAAAGGTCAAATATTGTGACGTCATCTACTGAATCTTTCACTTTTTTGCCTTTGAAATTTTTTTTCAATCGCCAATATTTGAAACCATTTCAATTTCAATTTCAGTTCAATTTTCCGTATTTTCACACATTTTAATCTATGATCCATTTCCATCAATCTGTTGATTTTTTTTTGTAAAAATTGAATCATACATTTTCTCTCAAGAGAACTTAAAGTGTAGCATATTTACATCTGATTTTTCTATTCCGGGGCTACGTATGTCCTAGTTTTACATCATATTTTACTCAAATTTACCCGTTTCAATATATTTTTACTGAATTTTAGTAACAAAAAGGTTGCCTTTATAAAAAGCATCATACAAGTTTGCTATAGATCATTTGATAATTTTTAGATAAGGCACATTCGAATGTCTGATTTCACAATCTTCTTACAGGGGTCTGATAAGCCATATTTCAAACTATGTGGGCAAAAAATGTGCGGTTGAATTTCTTTCATATTACATATAAAGATAGACTTTGTATCTTATATCAAAATATCAAAGTTTCAAAAAAAATGAATTTGAGGAAAATTTTGGCAAATCTATTGTGTACTACCTTAACTAAAAGTTGTGTCCAAAATAAGAATATAAACTTTGAAAAGAAATGGAATTAATGTAATCCGGAACGAAAACAGATTTTTTTAAAATGATGGAGGGAGGCCATATAATAATTATAGAATTAGAACAAAAATTACAAGAAACACGAAAAAAATATGGTGGACATATGAGAGAACTTACCATGTTTTATACAGATGAGTCCTAGTAGAATAAATATTGTCTTTGTCTCCATGGCCAGTTGTCTTGTGACGGCACAGAGCGCTGTAAATTTATGTAGCACTGTCAGTGATCCATCACCTTAACACAGACATTGTTGTTTCTGTTTTTATGGTTACATAAGGCAGTCACTGTTGTGGTTTTATACAATTAGCGTTTATGTTTTGCATATTTATAAAATCCAGCATATATTACTGTGGTAATTCACGTGCGAAACTAGCTTTGTGGCCATTTTATTAACAAAATTATGAAAATGGTGTACATGAACCGAATTATCACGAGAAAGCAGCAGAGTGTATGCTATTTTACGATGGATTTGTATCTTTGCTTCTCTCAAAACATGCACGCACAAGACAAAATGTTAATGTTAGAGAAAAATCATCAAAAAATGTATGTTTATTAGAATTATTAAAATTTAAAAAAAAAAAAAAACAACAAAAAAACAGAGACAGTGATTTTAAAGATGTACTATACTAAACTTGGAGAAAAGCTGAATCGATAAGGAGTTCGTTACATGGATTTCAACAACCTTGCTTAAAGTCAGTATTTAGTAAATTTTATGGTCGTTATAATGACCTTGTTGGCAAATAAAACCTATCATTGGGTCGTATTTTGGCTGACATGTTTCATACCAATTATTAGGCCTTGTTTTTAAACTAAATTTGGCTACGGAATATTCCGTCTACCTGATCAGTACATAGGGTTCACAGCATATGTGACCGGTCAACAGTGAATACTTTCTCCTCCTAGACACCCGATTCCACCTCTTGATGTCCGTGCTTTATGTCCTATTTACTAACTTGTGTCGTTTGTAAATATTTTTGAGATCAATAACTCTTCGTTATTATCTTCTATATTTTCTAACATTTGTGTTTATCCAAGCTATTGTACATAAAATGATTTTTATCGTATATGTGTATTATTCAATATAAATTAAGCAATAAATTTTGTTCATAAATTAAATTTGATCAGCCACACCTTAAGAAAGAAAATCGGGATCAATCCAACGACTATGAAAAAGAAATTCCATGATTTTTTCTTCTTTTTAAATTAATGTATTTTACTCGATAACAGTGTATCCTTCATCTTCAATCGCAAAACCTTTGAGATTCAATATTTTTTTATTATCACACCTAATCAGATTAACTTTCTTTGAGTGAGCTCTGATCTTGCAAGAAATTTAGGAATAACTTGCAAGAATATATCTATATATTTGCATTCATTTAAATAGTTTACTTTTATTTTAATTTTAATGATAAAATTTTAGTGAGAAATTTACTAGTATTTCAATCATGATAAATAATCACACTTCTAAGGCTATCCATTCATTATAGACAGCAAATGAACAAGAGGGTATTTAATTACAAAAATATCCTAATCTTATTTGAGGTGTCAAGAACAGTAAAAACACGAAATCCCACTTATTTATTTGGTTTCCAAGTTATCGAGTTGTCACTGAATACAACCCCCAATCCGATAAAAGTCAAAAACTTGATTTAATTCTTGAGACGAATGTCACGCAGAGTTCTGCTAACAATCTTCGTATTACCAATATTCAACACTATTCACACCTACGACTATTTAATAATGACACTTTATTAGCGACATCAGAGAAACAAAATACACGTAGTTCAGAAAAAAAGCCCTTGGCACAATAATAAGAAAATGCAATTTTACTCTCATCTATATATTTAAAGTATAGAACAGCAAATGATTCTAGACAATTATCTATCTACATAACACATGAAAAAAAATGAAGCATGCATGAAGACGTCAGATCTATAGACCCAAACTAAAGGACAGTTATTCTAGGAAATTAATATAAAACGTCTTTTGTACGGAATGACACCATTTAACACATTACACTATTTATACTAATATACGTTGTATTGTAATGTACATGTATTAAAATAATAGATAAAAAACATGCAACAAAATGTTTTTCTCGTCAATATTCCTTGAAACTTTGCAACAAATGATTGCTGTTCAAGATGACGAAGACTTAGTTATAAATATTTCGTAGGATGCATTTTGTTGAATGTAATTCTTGTCGATGTTATCCACCGCTCGTTTGTTCCAGAAGCAGAGAAATTTCTTGATGAGGTATTTGGGTTCTGAGAATCGCCAAACGTAAAACACAGGGTTACACGCACTGTTCAAAAGGACCATAGTGGCGGAGAAGATGTAGATCTGTTTTCCTATTTCACTGGACCGGTCAAATATTGGGAATGTAAAGATCATCATAAAAGGAAAATACGCCGCCAAAAATACGCCTGTTACAACTGAAACTTTTCTAAAAATTTTTGATTCTTCGAGTGAAGGGATGGTCGTATTCTCAATAGTTGTTACCCTGGAAAGTCGATTACGAATGTGATGCAAAATATATCCAAACATAAGAAAATTAAAAATGACAAAGCCCAGCAAAATACATTTAAAAATAGTGTTGATGATGTTCTTTGTAGAAAAAGCCATAAGTTCACAAGAAAAACCGTATTTTGCATCGTGACCAAAAAACATTCCATATGTCAGTACAAGTCCTAAAATCCAGAACAAACAACATAACCTCACTAAGAGTTTCTTTGTAATGAAAGTATAATATCGCATGGCAAAAGCGAAAACGAAACAGCGATCTAAGTTCAGCATGGTGACAATTAACAGAGATACATTAATGAACAAAAATGCTGGATATTTCTTAATGTCGCATTGATATTCCTCGTATAACAATACATTCGGAATGGCTAAGGTGATTCCCGTAAGGAGATCAGAAACAGCCAAGTTTAAAGACAAAATCTTGATTTGAAAAATAAGTCGTGTGCATTTGCACAGTAAAAGTATAGAAATCATATTTTCGACCAGCATGATACCACCTATTGTTACTAGTATGTGATCCGTAAGGACTATGGGAGGACCCGTGCCATTTGAAGAAGAGTTTTCTGTAAAGAGTACAGGTGTTTCTGAGGAAATATTAGCCAGATTCTTCATTATCTAATAACTAGCCACCTGTAAAATAATGCCACCATGTAGGTAAGTAGGATGTTCTTCTTTGTCTATAATAATAAAATAAATAAATGAATAAAAAAAAATTCTTTAAAAACTCAGTTTTAAGAAAACTCGTATATTCAGCATGGATAAAAAACACTTTAAAATTATTGATAAATGTAAACTCACCAACATCAGCGGTTTAAAGTTTCAGAGACTGTTGGCTAATTATTTTCTTATGGTCATTTTATATACATGTAGTTTTTATATATGCGCGAGTTCTTTGTTTCTCCTTCTTTATAAATCAATAGAAATGTGTTTAAGAAATTGGTTTATGCTTAAGGTTAAGATTGAGTTTATGAAATAGAATACCTTGATTGTGAGAGTGGATTAAATGTATCAGATGTATGTTAAAATCTCGCATTAAGAGATTGAGGGGCAATATGGAAAACATCTATCTTTCTGTGTTCAATAATTCAGAAGTGAAAAAAAAAATTAGATAGATTACACGATCAGTATGTACTGGTCGCAGCTGACAAAGCAGGTAACAACATTGTCTTTGTTTGTGAGGTTCATTATTTTAATTGTATTTTAGAAGAACTGGGATGTAATTTTACAAGTGGCAATCCAACTTATACCCATAGCTCCCTTTCTGAGGCGGAAATTCTTTAAAATCAGGAGTCAGTTTTGAATATTTTTAATATACCCAACAACCAAAATGAATTTGAATTACCTTATCTATATTGGATTCCGAAACTTCATATAAATCCTTAAAAACAAAGATACATAGCGGGTTCCAGTAAATGTTCTACCAAACCTCCTTCTTTACTCCTCACCAAAATATTAACAGCAGTGAAGGAGAAACTTCAGGAGTACTGTGCAACAATATATTCAAGAAGTGTGTAAATCAGATGTGGATATTTAAAAATTCTATGAAACTTTTTGGAAATTTGAAATCAAAAAATTTTACCAAAATCAATAAAGTCCATGCTAATTGACATCATTGACAACTGCTTTTTCAATAAAAATGGAACTCGTAAATTTACTTACTTTGTCATTGGTCATTTCCAAAATTATTTTGTTAAAAACATTCTGATTGTACATACAAGTACTCTGAAGTTGATATTAAAAAGATGCTTGATTTTCAGATTGACAATATCTGTGTGGTTTTGGGAAACCAGGTCTTCCAACAATTAATTCCCATCGGTACAAATTGTGCCCCCTTATTAGCAGACCTATTTTTGTTTTCATATGAAGCAGAATTTATTCAAATCTATACATGAGAGAAAATCTCTTTTTGTGGCCTTCAACTCGACATCAAGATATATCGACGACGTATTGTCAATTAATATAGTTATTTTCATTCGTATGTCTACACGATATATCCCAGTGAGCTTGAAATGAAAGATACCACAGAGTCTGACACATCTGTTTCATATTTGGATATTTTCTTGAAAAAAAGTTCATGGCAGCAATATACCCTTACTACCTGCATATGGGGTGTAATTCTTAGTTGATTTGATACGCAAGAACATGCTCTACGTATGAACAATTTCTAAAACGAGGTAAGTTATTGACAAACAAGTTGATGAAACAAGCATATCAACAGTCTCGTTTAAAGTCATCATTTCGTAAGTTCTATGATCGATACAATGACCTTTTTAGCAAATACAATCTATCATTAAGTCATATGCTGACTGACTTTTTTCATACTATTTATTAGGCCATTATTTACACACTGAATTGTCGACGGATTTTTCCGTTATTTACCAATCATGATAAGGAGTACACGACGGGTTTGACCAGTCGGCAGGGGATGCTCACTCCTTCATGACACCTGATCCCACCTCTGACGTTTTTGGAGGTCCGTGTTTTCTCTACTCCCGATTTTTATTGTTTTAATGGACTTTGAGCTTGAATACTGTTCGTTATCTCCACATTTCAGTCTACTGAAATATGAATGTGTACAATGTGGTAAAAGATCTGTACAATCATGATTTTGCAACCAGAAATGAATACAAACACGAGCAAGAGATTTTTTTGGGGTTAGCAGATGTTTAAGGATTTTTTTAAATGCATTGATTTTAATTGACTC